GCTTCTCGGAAGTAATCATCCAAATACGGTAGTACTCGCGCACCCGGACGTGAAGGACGCTCTGTCTGGGAAACGGGAAAAAACTTGTGGGGCGAGAGCAAGGGGTGAGGGACACTGGTGACCCTTGCCCGCCGCAGCCAAAAAATCCCGCCAAATATGCACCACATTGCATATGTACTGCTGAAGAGACGGTGTCTCTCTGGGACCTAGCAGACATGGCCAAGAGTAATTGGCCGTTACACGTAGTCGGGAGGTCCACGACCTGCCACCGATAGCCCCTTGCTTGGGCGTAAACATATTGTGTCTGAGGTGCTGTTACCGGCACACAGCAGGGGCTTTAAGGTAGCCTGTCCTGACGGGCGGCCTGTCAGTATTCTAGGGTCACACACACACACACAAACACACACGGACATGGGCAATCTTACACACACACGTGTGTGTGTGGCCCTGTGGCCGTGTGGCTGTAATGGACCAAACATAATATCTCGACCGGCTGAAACACGTTATTGGTACTATATAGCATTCTCTATCGCAAGGTATCTCGCCTGTAGCCAACAAAAGTCGTAATGAGCACAAATGAGCACAAACAACTTTGGCTGCCTCATGAGGCAATCGATCAATTGACCGAGGCCAAAGTCACATCAACGCCTCTCGGGCTAAATTTAATCTCAAAAGGTACCGCGTATCTCATATTTGAGTTCTTAGATGACGGCGTGTGATAACTCGAACTCCCAGGCCTTGAATGTGTAACGGACCAAACATAATATTTCACCCGGCTGAAACGCGTTATCGGTACTATATAGCATTCTCTATTGCAAGGTATCTCGCCTGTAGCCAACAAAGATCGTATGAGCACAAACAACTCAATTGCCTCAATTGACCGAGCTCAAAGTCACATCAACGCCTCTCGGGCTAAATTTCATCTCAAAAGGTGCCGTGTATCTCATAATTAAAATCTGAGATGAAAGCGTATGATAACTTGAACACCCAGCTTGTTTTACCATTTGCCCGCACGGGCATTCCGACTTGCCACCAGCAGGCCGACAAATTTGCTTACATTTCATTTCTCTATGACATACGCAAGCTGCTCGTTTGAACATTTACTTTAGCCAATGCTCGGGGCCTACGGTGTGCCGCGATGAAGCTCGCGGCTGTGGGGCGGATTGCTGAGGAACATCACAGGCAGCACCGAACTTCACACAGCTTGCGTTACCATTTGCCCGCACGGACATTCCGACTTGCGGTCTGCCGCACTGTCCATGCGGCATGCACCCGGGATGGATGTGATTCGCGTGGAGCCTGCAGGCGGTGCTGACGATTCCGCCAGTGCAAGCTTAGCTCCTACACCATCAGCACTGCTGCAACAAAGCACATCTCCCACCGCGTTGACACTACCCATCAATTGTCACACGTGCCGCGTTAGCTACCGGCCTGTACGGATGCAGGGGGGGCCCCCCCTTTTTCTGGCTTCAAGGAAGCCGACACCCAACTTGTTTCAGGCACCCTGAAACTGTCTGAAGCGTTTTTCGGGGTAAAGTTTAACTAGATTCTATCGTAATATCCTAGGATGGCTGACTTAACAGGTATTTGACTTTATTTTGGAACATGGCGCCTGGGAGCAGTCGTTCAGGAAAAAGGAATTACCCAAAACCCTAAGTGTGGAAACAAGTGGACCCATTGATGCATTCCAGCCCAGGCCCGCTCCCAGGCCATCTTTGACTTCATAACTGAAAACTCTTTCTGCAAACCGTCAAGTTCGTTGACATCGATGGCAAATAGGCGGTTAGGGCTTGCCGAGTGGCAAAAGAACACTAGCAACTTCACGAAACTCCTTACATGCAGTGTATAACAACGATTGCTGGTTAGTTTACTTGCTACTTTCATAGTAACGACGCAAGACTGTAGGTCAACAAAACGTTTGAAGTTTGCATCGACCTTTTCGAAACTTACAGCCAGTGTTCACTGAAAGATGTCCAGCAGCTTTGCCGTTAGCAGCAGGAGTAGAAGCGTGTTTATTTATGGGTATGCTTAGATGTATGAAAATGCGGCATATGGATATGCTTAGATGTATGAAAATGTGGCATATGGATATCCTTAGACGTATAAAAATGTGTGTGGTACAGCCGCAATGCCCATTGTACTTAGGGTTTGACTGGTGCAGGGATCTAGCCGGTACCGAAACGTGCGGAAACAGAGACCTGCGGAAATAGGTTTCTTCCCACTTTCCGCAGAGGGCCTAAAATGAAGAAATTGCGGAAAAAGAAATCGCTTGCAGTACTGCGGAACGTCAAAAACATATTCCACGCCTGTGCGTTTACTTCACAAGTGACAATACTTTAGTGTAAAAGTCTACAATCACTGCCCCCGACCTCGGGGCTAACGACATTCTAGAGTTCGACTGTGTTTCAGCCCAAAGAAGGTGGAAGGCCTGCTACCGACGTTTGGAAACATGTTGATAGAAGACATTATGACAAGAGCAAGAACTGCTCTGCTACCTGCAAACAACATCGGAAGGACCCGATCCGAGCGTACCAATCCAATCCGTCAAAATCAAGCACTATGGGGGAGGCCTATGATAAGTATGCTCTGGCCTGGGGGATTGGGGGTCAAAGAGAGGCGGAATGCTTGCAGATCCCACGAGACTGAACCGCATTGCCAAGAGCGCGATTGAGATTGTCCATATTATCGCAACACTGCAAAGAGCTAAAAATAGCTTTATATAGATACTTTATAGTTTTCGCAAGTTTCCGCAGTTTCCGCAGCGTTTCCGCAAAAGGGTTCCCAAGTACGAAAAGTTTCCGCAAACCTGGTCAAGTTTCAGCTAGATCCCTGGACTGGTGACCAAGCGGGCCTTATACTGCAGCCCTTTCCGCGCCCGAAAATATGCAAATTTACGCTTAAATATCGTTCAGTTTTCTCCGAAAATGCCTTCGGGAGGCTTCAGTGGGGCCCCCAAGAAATGCTTCAAAAGACCCAAAATCCGTTCGGGATGCTCTGGGGCGGACTAATTTTCCTTTCGGGCAAAATGGAAAGATCTCAAAAATGTTCGGGCCCGAATCGGGGTGAAGAACCTTGTCACAGACCGTTCCTCGTCATTTCAGCATTTGGTACACCCTGCTTGCCAACCAGGCACCTGGAGTCACCGGTCCTGATAATGCTGCTATTGCTGCTAGCGGGGGTCGCTAGTAGGCATCTGCAGCTTGCCTGGGCATCCCGCACGGAGGCTGATGACGCGGCGGTATTGCTGACTCTGGCAGGTCCCTCACCACCCTCATATTTGAGCAGCTGGTCAGGTGTGGCGCCATGCAGCGGTGGGTTATGGCGGATGTAGGAATGTGGGAAGCACCGAGCCACGGCTCCAGACATGGCGACGGTGAAATGTGGTGATGCGAACGTCTTGTTAGGAAGCAGGTGGTAGCTGGTGGCTGGCAATGGAATGGGATTTGGATGTGTTGTGGTGACGATTAAGGAGAGCATAGCATGCAGCGCGGGTTAACCCTCATGGAGGTGGCCTGGATGGGGATGCGAGTGCAGACATGGATGCATGCTCCGGCTTGGAGCTCTGGCCTGGGGTGATGGCGCCTTAGCTCTGAAAACTGGTGTAAAACTCCACCGAAGCCGTGGACGGGACTGATGTCCCTTCACAGTTGTGCCAGAGCTTGTCGTATGTTTTGGAGCAAAGCCAATAAATAGCATAGCACACAGTAGAATGAAGCTGTACTTTTCCATGGTTCACCTAGCTGTGTGCATCGATGCCTCACAAGCTGGCTTGAGCAGTTTGTGCACATTGTTGCGACTAATGGCCCTGCTTGGCGTATGTATCCTACACAGACGGCTGGGCATGCGTGACCTGTTCCGGCCGGCGCGTGACGGCAATTGACCTATTGGGCAACATCACACTGCCTGTGGGAGCACTGCCAGCCACCATCGGTAAGTTTGCTGTATGATGCTGTACGGCGGTGTTGAAGGAGCACAAAATGCCGAACATTTTACATATAGCATTGCATGCAATTGCAAATCGTCCCTGTCCCTCTGATAGGATGTTTATAGGGGTCGCAAAAGGATAAGCATGAGCAAGGATGCGGTTACCCCCCTTCAACCTCCAACCGGGAACCACCCTGACCGGTCAGGGCAAGTACCTGCTTGCCACACGCTTGGCTTTATGTGTCTTTCCTTTTCCATGCCCACACGCCCTCACCCACGCCTTCATGTTCCACAAACTGCATTTCGCCCGTGTGCAGGCCAACTAGACGCATTGCAGCTGCTGCGCCTCGATGGTGCCAGGCTGGGGGGGACGCTGCCTCCGGACTTATCGGCGCTGTACAGTCTAACTTCCCTGTCCCTGTCGTACAATTCCTTCACGGGTATATTGCCGGCGTCCTGGAGCACCCTCACCAACCTACGGTGCGGAAGGAGGTCATGGGGGCGGGCGGGTTTAGATGCGACAATGGCATGAATTCATGTAGTCTGCAGTTGGGCGGTGAAGTGGGTGTTGGGGATAAGAGGAAGTTACGTACCCAGGACGCACATCCTTTAGACAAATACCTAGCAACACGCTGAAGGCATGATGGCGCGGTCTCAGGGAGGCAATATACACTCCTGACATATACAAGGAATGAAAGACCCGTTTAAGCGATGATGGTATTGAGTCTATCAAGCGCGCTTTTAAATATTATACTCCGGAGTTACTGGTAAAACTCATGCGGACAGCATTTCTGCGCATGGGTTTTAGGTACGGCAACATATTCGAACCTGCAGTAGGTACATGCATATTTTTTGACCATATGCCAAGAATACGTCAGGCAAGTAACATTGATGCTGTAGAAATTGGCAGGATTACCTGTAACATCCTAGTAAAAAAACACTCCTGATGTTCATCTAATTCATATAATGTTACAGAGTGGGATCCCATTCTGAAGCCTCCAAAGGCTTCTGGGCCACTTTATCACATTGTCAAAACTACGATTTATCACCATACAGCACCATCCACCATTACCACACTATACGCCATACGAACTGTAAGTCCAAGGCGCTGGATCCTGCCTTCTGCATCCCTCCGGAGGTATCCAAAGGACTGGATGAGGATCCTCATCCAGTCACCAGCACACCCATAGAGACAGAGGTTTCAGCAATCACCACAATCCAGCGTGCGAATTTAGGTCCATCGACCGTGACCTCAACTTCACATCTCGAGCACTAGCCACACTCTTGCTCTCCCGAAATTGTCCTGGGGGTCCCCAGTAATCAAACCTAGGACCTTAATCAGCTTCTCGCAGAAGGTCAACCAGACCAGACCAGACATGTTCCGATTTTATCATGTCCCAATTTTGAAACGGTTTATTCCGGCCAGAGAAGGTATGATTAATCACCTCTCCCTCTCCGTATGGCAAGGGAGTAATAGATGAGTGCTCCAAGGAAAGTGCGTAAAAATAAGTAAGGGAGCCTACGACTCTGTGTGCCCAAAGAAAGGGGTGGGGTACCGCTCCTCGCCTGCCGCTTCCCCGATCTGTGCCTCGTCCTCTGCCGCTTCCGTCCCCTGCCGCCTTCTCCCCTGCCGCCTCCTAACTAACCTGCCGCCTCCTCCCCTGCCGCCTCTATCCCCTGCAGCCTCATCCCTTGCCACCTCTGTCCCTGCCACCTCTATCCCAGCCGCTTCCGTCCCCTGCCACTTCCTCCCCTGCCATCTCCTCCCCTGCCACCTTCTCCCCTGCCGCCGCAATCCCCTGCCGCCTCTGCGCATGCCGCCTCTATCCCTGCCGCCTCCGTCCCCTGCCACTTCCTCCCCTGCCACCTCCTACCCTGCCACCTTCTCCCCTGCCGCCTCTATCTCCTGCCGCTTCTCGCATGTCGCCTCTATCCCTTGCCGCCTCCTCCCCCTTCCGACTCCATCCCCTGCCACCTTCTCCCTTGCCGCCTCTATCCCCTGCTGCTTCCTCCCCTGCCGCCTCCTCCCCTCTGCCTCTATCCGCTGCCGCCTCCTACCAACCCTAGGGTGTACATGTGCACGACGTCACCTTACATTTGTGCACAACTGAAAATGGGGTGACCAACCTCGGACTTGTCACAAAACCTGAATCTTACAG